GAAAGTATTCCCAAGAACCCTAAAATACAAGCAGGTAGGACAAACCATTCAGCTGTAAGACCTGTGTATCAGCATGTCATGGGAAGAAGCTAAAGAAGAAATAGGTCATCTGATTGACCTGAGAACACGACTGAAAGACCCCACAGGTACTCACTGGAAAGCTGAGCAGATCAATTTGATCAGCAGCTAACAGCAGCTAACACTGGGAAGAATTTTTACACATTCTAATTCACTGGGAAGGGCAAGTGTTCGGTGGCAGATCTGAAAAGGTCAGAGAACTTTATGAGCTTTCAGAGGTAACTGGAGCTTCCTTCCAGGAAAAAGTCCTACACTGAAGAGAAACTGCTAAATGTATACTCCAAGATGAGAGGAGAAAGATTACAGGAGAAAAGGAAAACCAAAGTCCAGAAAAAATTGGGGGTGAGGGGATAAGCTAAAGAAGCATATCTCAGAAAATATGAAACATTTTTTATCACTGTTTTTATAACAAGGAAAAGGGAGCTTCAGACCCTCAAAAACCTTCTACTCCTTCCTAAAAGTTCAGGAATGCTAATTTCATATTAAAATGAGCAAGCAATGATGTAATGTATGGTGATTAACATAACATAATAAAATTAAAATAAAATAAAATGAGCAAGCAAAATGGATCATGTTTGAACGTCATACAAAATTATAATGAGAAATAAAGAAATAAGATGTAAAACGAAATCCGTACAATGAAGTATGCCAGAAAGATATTCCCACCAAAGGAAGAAACTGTATCCTTATATTTCAAATTGAGCTAAAAGAAATCAAGACAATGATAATGACATGAAAGAACAATATATATCACAATTAGAAAAACTCAGGAATGAGGTGATTGAACCCAAGAAAGAAAAATAAAAGAAAACATAATTTTTAATTGCATTTTTTCATTTTTATTTAAATACCAGTTAGTTAAAATACATGTACTATTAGTTGCAGGTCATACAGTGTAACATTAGTTAATTTATAGTGAATCAACACTTCCATACAACACCCGGTGCCCATCATAAGTGCACACCTTAATCCCCATCACTTATTTAACCCGTCCCTCCACCCACCTCCCTTCTGGTCACCATCAGATTGTTCTCTATAGTTAAGACTCTGTTTTTTGGGATGTCTCTCTCTCTCTTTCTTTCCCCTTTGCTTATTTGTTTTGTTTCTTAAATTCTACATATGAGTGAAATCATACAGTATTTATCATTCTCTGACTGACCTATTATGCTTAGCTTAATAGTTTCTAGCTCCATCCATCATTGCAATGGACAAGATTTCATTCTTTTTATGGCTGAATAATAATAATAATAATAATATATATATATATACCACATCTTTATCCATTCATCAGTCAATGGACATGTGGGCTCTTTCTATAATTTGGTTATCGTAGATAATGTTGCTATAAACATTGGCATACATGTATCACTTTCAATTAGTATTTTTGTATTCTTTGGGTAAATACTTAGTAGTGTAATGGCTGGGCCATAGGGTAGTTCTATTTTTAACTTTTTAAAGAGCCTCCAAACTGTTTTCCACAGTGGCTGCAGCAATTTGCATTCCCACCCACAGTGCAAGAGGGTTCCCCTTTCTCCACATCCTAGCCAACACCTGTTGTTTCTTGTGTTGTTGATTTTAGACATTCTGACAGGTGTGAGGTGATATTTCATTATAGTTTTGGTTTGCATTTCCTTAATGATAAGTGATGTTGATCATCTTTCCATGTGTCTGTTAGCCAAATGTATACATTCTTTGAAAAATGCCTTTTCATGTGTTCTGTCCATTTTTAAACTGGGTTATTTCGGTTTGGGGTCTTGAGTTTTATAAGCTCTTTATATATTTTGGATACTAAACCTTTATTAGGTATGTCATTTGCAAATACCTTCTCCCATTCCATAGGTTGCCTTTTACCTTTGTTGATTGTTTGCTTCACTGTGCAGAAGCTTTTTATTTTGATGAAATCCAAATAGTTTATTTTTGCTTTTGTTTCCCTCACCTCAGAAGACGTCTAGAAAGAAGTTGCTATAGCCAATGTCAAAGAAGTTACTGCCTGTGTTTTTTTCCAGGATTTTTATGGTTTCAGGTCTCACATTTAGGTCTTTGATCCATTTTGAATTTATTTTTGTGTATAGTGTAAGAAAGTGGTCTAGTTTCATTCTTTTGCATGTTGTTGTCCAGTTTTCCAAAACCATGTGTTGAAGAGACTTTTTCCCACTGGATATTCTTTCCTGCTTTGTCAAAGATTAATTGGACATATAGTTGTGGGTTCATTTCTGGGAAAAGAAAACAATTTTAAAAGCAAACCAGAAGGAACACAGAATAAACATGACAATATAACAGATGCCTCCAGAGAAAAAGATGAACAAAAAGAGGACTTTTAAAATAAAAGCAGTGAAAATCCAACATATATATACATAATGAAACTCCCTGAAAAAGAAAACCAAAATAATATATTAAAATGGTATCAAAGCTAAATTATTTATTTAGTATTTTTTAAAAGATTTATTTATTTATTTTAGAGAGACAGGGAGTGAGAGTGCTGGTGGAAAGGGAGAGAGAGAATCTCAAGCAGGCTCCATGCTGCCCAAATCAGGGCTCGACCTTAGGACCCTGAGACCATGACCTGAGGCAAAACCAAGAGTCAGACGCTTAACTGACAGAGCCACCCAGATGCCCCTTTATTTAGTGTTTTAATAAATACTAGTATCATAATTACATTTTCTGAAGTCAAAAGACTTGAAATTACATTAAAATACATTAAATATTTGGGAAAATTACCTATAATAACCAACCTGAAACATATTTTAGAAAAACTATTGGACTCTGAAGAAAAAGAAAATTCCTTCAAGCATCCAGCAAAAACCCAAATTATTTATAAGAGAAAGAAGTGTAGTATATTATCAGTTTTGGATACTAATTCTTTATTCCAAAAGAAAATGGAATGATGTTTTTATGACACTCAAAGAAGAGAATGTGAGTGGCTCCTGGGTGGTTCAGTTGGTTAAGCATTTGCCTTTGGCTCATGTAATGATCTGAGGTCCTGGGATGGAGCTCCATGTCGGGCTCCCTGCTCAGCGGGGAGTCTACTTCTCCCTCTCCCTTCCCCCACTTGTGCTCGCTCTCTCTCAAATAAATAAATAAAATCTTTTTTTAAAAAAAGAGAGAGAAAAAATGTGAACCAAGGATGATGTATCTAGACAAACTGACTTTCAAGTCAAGCCACAAACTATTGTCAACATCCAAAATTCAGAAACTTATTTCTTTGAAGCACTGTCTGAAGAATTTAGTAGAGAATGAGCTTCAGGTAGTCAAAATGACAGAGATGTAGACATAATGCCTGGTAGAAAATTTAAGATTTAATGATAGTTAGAAGAGAGACTATGTAGTATGTATAGTACAGATACTATACAGTGTAAATAAAATAGCTCTATGAAAAATGGAAGTGGAATAAGAAGCACATGTGAAGAACAGAATAAGCACACCATTTGCTTTATAGTCTTAACTGGGATCAAAAGGACAACGCTGCAAATCCCCCAGATACGTGAGAAGAAGGTACAGAGGGGATAGAGAACAGTATATGAAGATATTTATATCTTATGCAGCCACCAAAAAAAATGAAATCTTGCCATTTGCAATGATGTGGATGGAACTAGAGGGTATTACGCTAAGCGAAATAAGTCAATCAGAGAAAGACAAGTATCATATGATGTCACTGATATGTGGAATTTGAGAAACAAGACAGAGGATCATAGGGGAAGGGAGGGGAAAATGAAACAAGACGTAACCAGACAGGGAGACAAACCATAAGAGACTCTTAATCTCAGGAAACAAACTGAGGGTTGCTGGAGTGGAGGGGGGTG